AAACACTGTGGATAGAGCTTCTTCATGATGTATAACCTGCTTGAGTCTACCACCCCAAATAATGCTTTAAGAGGGGCAAAGGGGCACTCCAAATTAAAAACCTCAATGAAGAAACATTTCCCCCACACATGCTCAGTGCCTAGTTCTTCCTGCCAGTGTGTCCTGATGCTTATTTTTTATCATTTTAAAATACAGAGTACATCCAGATTTTGGAGCCAGCTTTATTTTGTAAAAAACAAAACAAAACAAAAATACTGCAGTGACTTATATTTAACACTTTATTTTCCACATATTAAAGAGAAACATACAGACACATTTCAGACCCTTGCTGGTGTTGTTTTCAGAGGATCTGCTGCTCTTTTTCATGTGTGTGGTTGATGATTTAAAAAATCTTATAGTAATGAATATTACATTAAATTGTCTGGAAAAATCAAAAGTTTCTGGTAATCTTTTACATAGAGGTAATGGTTGTTGAATGGGACGTCTCGTGGGATTGAGGTCTCTTTTTTACTAAATGTTTGGAGCACAAAAAAGTAAAAATAAAATACAATAAAATGAAATAAAATTCAGAAAAGCTTACAGTCATTATACAGGAACAACAGCTCACAGGGTAGATAACACAAAATGCACATACAAGAATCATAAAAGCTTTTGTCAGTTATGTTTGTGTATCGAAGTTACCCACTTTGAACAGTCCACAGATACAGATGGTAACCTGGGCTTTTAAAAAGCTTTGTTATCCAACAGAAATTTGAGTAGCTGTAAAAGTATTCTGTGGGTTTAACTAGTTGGTATGTGCACTTGTCTTGGAGTCTCTGATTTCAAATTTTCAGACTCTTCTTAAGAACATTTGTTACAAGATTTGTGAAAGTTTTCTTGGGATTTAAATTGACTATTCCCCTTTTGATATGATGCAGAATTGACTCCAAACCTAAAACGACGACAGATCTCAGCACCCTGCTTAATACACTTAATAACAGGTCTTCTCCTAAGATCTGTTGCCTTTTGTCTATACCAAAGATTACAACTGTTAATTTGCGCAAATAATGTCAAATAATGTAGTCAATATTAACATTTTAAAGCAAATTAAAGCAAGGCTGCCTTTAAAATTATGGTAAAAGGAAGTTTTGAAAGCCTTGAACTCCAAAATGTAGACATGAATTAAAATAAAGATACAGGACCCAAATTAGTGGTGAAGTTACTTTTGGAAAAAAGATTCTTCATTTGGCTAAAAATAAAAGTTTGAATTAAAAAATACGTCTCAATGTTTAAATTTTTACAATTTCTTTCTTAGGGAAGTATTTGGAGGACATGAACCTGAAGGGGTGTGGTTTTTTTTGCCAAACAACTTTTATCAGTTTTCAGAATTATTATTAAAGATGATATTGTGTTGGTGGTCGCCCAGTATTATTGATCAACTATTATAATAAACCTCAGTCTGTACTGTTTTTTGTTAGTAGGCACATGGAAGTAAAAATCCTAATTATCTATTTCCTAATTTAGAATAGCATTTGAGTCAAGGGGATGCTTTTGAGCTTAAAATGATTGACTAACTAACAAATAATCCTGAGATAAAAACTGTGGTTCTGTGGCAGGCAGATGGGTGTAATTCCAGGAAGAGTGCAGATGTAATTGATGACACTGTTATTAAATTGTGTGGTCCTGGTATGGTGCATGCTGGACTCCTGGTGTGGATGACATTTAAACTGAATAAATGATGTTATGATGGACTGAGAATCATCAGAGCTGTCATCATCACACATCCATCTCTCAAGCGAACAGCTCATCTCAGTCTGCAAAAAATAATGGAGACTTATTACAATGACAGGTCCAAAACCTTCCAGGGTTACTACATTTGTGACCCTCATTTGTTGGTGAGCTAGAGGCCAGAGATCAGGCCACAGAAAACTCTGTAACCTTGCATGAATTATTTGCAGGTGGGTACGTCAGTTTAAATGAAATACATAAAAAAAATATCGCAAATGGCTCAGTGAGTAAAATCACTGTCTAACCTATTTTAAAAATGACTTTTAGTCAACAACATCGAAAGGAGCCAGCTGAGTTGGTTCGGGCATCTGACAAGGATGCCTCCTGGGCGCCTCCTGGGTGAGGTGTTCCGGCCATGTCCCACCGGGAGGAGGCCCCGGGGCAGACCCAGGACACGCTGGAGAGATTATATCTCTCGGCTGGCCTGGGAACGCCTTGGTGTTCCCCCGGATAAGCTGGAGGAGGTGGCTGGGGAAAGGGAGGTCTGGGCCTCTCTGCTTAGGCTGCTGCCCCCGCGACCCGGCCTCGGATAAAGCGGATGAAGATGGATGGATGGATGGATGGACAAGAACAACTGCAGTCTTAAAACTTGAATGAATCATACATTTACACAACTGTTAATAAAAAGTGAAGTCTTTTAAAAAAGGTTTTACACTCTTAAAATTTGATTAATGTAAATTTTTTAATGCATTTAGTCAGTCTACTGTCATTACACACATTATCACTAAAAGAGCACAGCGGTGCCACAAAGGCACAAAAACTTCACACGTGTAATAGTTTGGGAAATTGTTATACTGGGCCCACAAAAATAATGAAATAAATAATTCCTCAGAACATGGAAATGTTCCTGGATGCACGCCACTGCACTTATTTTCAACAGACAACAAAATATGCAGTTCCAGAAAAGGTGAACCCATGTGAACTTGACAGGGTAAGCTAAGCAATCTAAGAAAACTTGATCTACAATCAAGAGGCAATTTCATGATTGGAGATATGTATAGGATTTATCACAAAGTGCAAACGCCTGGTTACACTCAAGAAGGACAGTTTGACCTTTGTCAGAAAACATCTAAATGAGTGCACAGTTTGGACAAAAAATATTTGTACAGAAGAAAAACAGCTTAACTTGTAGCAGAATGGCAGGAGAAGCAAAGCACAGAGACAGAGGGAAACAACTCATGATCTGCAGCATACCACATTAACTTTCATATCATCTGGTGAACTTATGGCATGGGCATTTATGGCAGTGGATCTGTGTTTCTATTGATAATGTGAATGTGATTTTTGAAGGGATATCAGATATCATCCATCCATCCATCCATCCATCCATCCATCCATCCATCCATCCATCCATCCATCCATCCATCTTCATCCTCTGTTACTTCTCTGGATCTAAGCACAGATACCCAGACCCTCCCCCTAGCCACCATCTACACCTCTTCACGAGGGAGACACATAATCGCTCCAGTGTATAGTATATAGATAGTCCAGACATCCTGGTCTGATATCTGAACCACATCAACTGGCTCTTTGAAATGTGGAGGTACAGCAGCTCTGAGCCCCTCACAATTAACCAAAATCTTTGTCCTCTCTCTAACCGTGAACGAGATACCCTTCAGAGGAAGTTCATTTCTGTACATTGTATCCAAGATTATATTCTTTCTGGTAGTATCTGTAGTTTGTGGCTATAGTTGAGGGTAGGAATGCATTGTTTAGTAATGTGACAGCTTTGCATTAACGCTCAGCTCTTTCTTTATCACAACAGACCAATAGAGCAGCGAGATTACATCAGATGCTATTCCAGCCTGTCTGTGAACAAGACCAAAAGTTACTTCAGCTCATCAAATTCAGCTGATCAAGAGACCAGCTAGGAATTCTGTAAATAACCAATACTGATCACTTTGTGCCTCGTCCATCAGCTTGAGCTGCTCTGGGGTTAGATATTATCTCCTTGCTCCTAAAGGCATAGTTACCCATAGCAATTGTATATTATAAACATATTGCCTATCTGCAATTGCTTCCTGTCCCTTCAACTCACCCACACAGTCTAACTCATGTTGCACTGCATCATGGGGAGTTGTCTCCCATAACTCCCCATGATGCAGTGATCTCCCTTCATGAAAGGGAAATTGCTGAGCAATTATTGATTCTAATGACCACATGCCTACAGAAAGCTGCTGTTAATATCGTTTTTCCTGCTCTTATTGTGTGAAACATTCATGTTTTTGCTTTTCCTGCTGTTAATGATCTAATGACGGGTTCTCCTTTGAGTACATTGAGCAGCAGGACACTAATATGGCAAACAAACTGCCTAATTGGCAGTTGGCAATACAGTTGGCTGGTTTGGAAGAAGAGTACTGCATGGCCGTGCATCTGCTTCAGAAAGCTACCAACTGCTCCTCCCTCCTCTGTAGCAGGGATGAAGTATTTGTTTAACTGGGCTACAAACATTGTTCTAATATGCCTATAAATAGCTATAGTAGCTAAATAGCTACTTCGGCCTGTCTGTCTGGTCTGGTTGCTGGATTCCTAAACCGAATGCATATCACTGAATCCTGTTCTAGGTGTATAAGCCGTGGCTGACTGCAAAATAAAAATAAAAAACATAAAAAATGAAAAATTGTAGAGAAAGCAAATTGATAAATTCAGGATATGACACAAATTTAGGATAACTATCACAGCAGTGTCGTTGTGTGAGGCTTAGTTTTCTAGTTTTTTATTCTTAGTTAATATATTTGAGCATTAGTTAATTTTTTGTGTTGTTTTATTTTTTCAGAGTTTTTTGTGATTGAAAATCTGTTAGTATTCATACCTGTATGAGTCTCCTTTGATTACTTCCTGTTTTACTTTGAAGGACAGCTTTCTTACATGTCCTATGTTAGGTTTTCTCCACAACCATCTGGACAATAGATGGTTGTAAAAACATTTTCTCAGTTTCTGCTGTAACCTTGTTGTTAAATAACTCACCGATTACTGTGAAAACTTGATTAAAAAATGAATAGTCTTTAATGAGATAAAGCTTTCTCATGCAATTCTGTGAACGTAATATTCGTATTAATATTACCAAAAAACCGGCACCAACAATAACACATGTATACATTCACCAGGCTCTGTTTTTTAAAGGTAAAATGCAACAACAATGTAATTGATATTACAAACAAAATAATATGCATTCTAAGTTATTTGTAGAAATTCACATTAACATAAATGTTTAGGATGAATAATTTGTTGAAGCAGCTGCCTTTCATACGAGGTATCAAAGTCATGTAGACTGTAGTAAATCTGTTTACTGACTCAAGATGCTGGCACTGTGACATGTGCCTGTCATTTTATCACTATTGAAGTGGTTGGTGTGATACCACTGTAGCAGGATCAATGGCCTGTAGCGTGTGTTGGACTTTTCGTCTCTGATGTGATGTGATGGGGTGTTTCCTTTTGTCTGTTTTTCTCAGATTGCGATTTTGTCTTGCGACAGAAGCAGATGGCATTGAAGAAGCGGCAGTGGCATGTTGCACACGAGTCACAGCAACCGGACTGAGGCAAACAGCTTTGAGCGAGCTGGGAGCATTTGATCTTCACAGGATTTGGCCTCACTTTAGCAGGAGGACAAATCTCATTTTGAGCAGCAGGACCGCCTCTGGGCTTCTGTGAGGTGGGGAGAAAAACAAAACAGATGGCGAGAGCATCAGAAAAGCCATCTGACTCCTCTGGATCCTTATAGTAATACTGCCTCCAAAGACTGAAAGCTTTGACTGTGGGTACCCACAGCACACAGTAAATGCTAAACATTTTTGACCATTTTAAGGATTGATTGAAATAACGTATGACTAAAACATGAACATGTATATGTTTTGTTACACTGTAAACCCGAATGTTCAAAGTAATTAAACAGATTAAGTAGTGTATACTCAAAGTCTTTAAAAAGTTCTGTTAACTTAAATATGTCAAGTTCGTATAACATGTTCTTCTTTTTGAGTAAATGAAACTAATAATATTTGATTGAATTGAACTATTTCTATATTAAGTAAGCATCACTTAAAATAATAACTTAAGCACAACGTAACACAGTTAAGTTAGGACATATAAGAATGGTAAAGTCCTGTTATTTTTGTTGTTTCAAGTAGGTAGGATTTAATAATAAACTTAATTTATGTAGCACATGCTAAAATACAATAAAATCTCAAAGTGTTTCACCAAATAAGTAAAATCAAATTGTCTTAAATGCATTAGTGGAAGACAAAATGTATTTATTTTAATATTCATTGTTTTATCACTGTGTCCTACATATATATTTTTAATTTTTTCCGTAAGTGTTGAGCAGCTGCAGGAATCAATTTTTATTCCGAGTTAATCTCTGATTCACCCTCCGAAGCGGAAGGCGGCGCTAATGAGCATTAATACGAAACACAGAAGAAGTAAAGGTATATGGGCGGGAACAGCACCAAAGAGGCAACACGGACGACTGGAGAAAGTTGGACCTAATGGCAGCAACTAGCATCACTGGACTTACAGTAAGTTTTCAATGTTGATATTAGTTTATTGTTAAAATACGAATATTTAGTTGTATTTTGGGTGCGTGTCGAAAAGAATAGCAGAAATGTCGGTCCGTGTTTTTTATGTGCTTTGCTGCTCTCCCCGAAGGAAACTTTGCGCTTGCAGAGCTAGCATTAAGTTGTTGTAATGACGGTCGCAGGCTGTTTAAAAAGTTAGATACTACTTGCTCTAGAGGTGGCGCCCGGTCGCCTAGTATGAAACAAAGTATTTTAATCTCTCTAAATTTTTAAACCCCCTCTCATGACTCAGAATAGTTGGGTCCAAACAAGCCCGTTGTCCCTGCAGTTACACAACGGAGATGCCTGTCTGCAGTGAGAGTGCTTTCAAGCAGTTTTCTTGTTAGAAACGCTATATTTTAAACTATATGTGCAGGGTTAGGGTTGTGAAGGAGCTCTTGGACCTCTGGCCTGCTCTAAAAATGGAGTCTGAGGTAATATGGATCAGCTCTGTTTAAAATGAAAATTGTAATTCTTACTCATGTGGCAGCTTTTTGCTGCTTTATAAAGATGTGCGAGATTCTTCAAATTGAACTGTATTGTCCTTCTGCTGTAGTTGTATGCAGAGTTTCAGCGGATTACAAATCAGAACCTGCCCAATACATTCTACGCTGAACTTGACCGCCATCTTCCTCGACTGATGACCTTATTCAGCCAGGGCATCAAAAACTGGGAAGACAGCAGATGCCCTGGCTGAAATTCTAAGAATTCACAATGAACAGGTAATAATAGATTTTTACACATTTCATAGGTTGAACCAGTGGAACATTGGACAGGTTCAATGATTTAAATGAGCTTTTTGAATTTTGCTATTACTCCACTTTGTGTTTGCTATTTGTCTGACTGTATTAAAGATGTGAACAGGTTATTTGTGGACATATGTTCTGATTTGACTGTTGTTTTTGTTGTTGTTCAGTAAACTCACCAGTATATAAAATTCTGTTTTTATCTGGAAATAGGAAATCCATGATATCCACACCAAGCGCACTACCGTTCTCCCTGCCCTTCCTGTCTATCTGCATGAGGATGTCTCTGGATTTTTCAGAACCTGCACTGTGAGTGTCCTTAAGTATCTAACAGATACTACTGTGTATATAAACAGTGCATCAAAGTACAAACATGTATTTTGATGCACTGTTTGGACTTATCTTTGTTTAGTCTACCCATAAGGTTTCCATGTATGGTCTTTTCTGTCTCCTCACTACGAATGAACTGAATTGGTGTTTTGTTGAAAGTGATAAGATGTTTAGTAAAACATTTTCCTGTGTATTTCCTTTAGCTTAGTTTCAGTCTATCTCACACCACTTGATTCTCTGGTGAATTAGCTGATTTATGTGTGCAGAACATGGATCTTCTGTTTTTCACCTCTTACAGTGAGACTCAGGTCTCCCTTGTAAAAGAGGTATTGGATCTCAGTGGGAGTTGGTAAAATGAGAAATTATATGTCGTCTGTTGTATTTCTTGGGTTAGATTGTGATTAGTATCTCTTTTTCATTAATTCAGGACGAATCTGATGAGTTGGAGCTTGATGGTGTTGAAGTGGCCCTCTTCACTGTCATCAGTGACCATCACACAACAAGTCCAGTTCACTACCAACCTGTGAAAATCTCTGTCGTCATTGAAAGTGATGCCGTGTTCAGTCTCCCCAGATTTGGTGAAGCCTTCCTAGTAATGTTTGGACTGATCTATGCACTTCCCCTCAGCTACCCCAAAGGCCTGACCAACACTTTAGAATTTACTCAAAAGATTTTATTTGGTCTAGAAAGTGGTAAACTGTCACCCAGGTTACAGACCCTCAAGAATGACTTGGTTATGTAGGAACTCATCTGAAAGAAGGATGCAGGGTGAAGCATTATAAAAGGCTAGTTCAAAGTTCTCTCCTTTCATCTAAATAATGCCTCAAAACATTATTAGATTACTCTACAGGTGTTCAGCCAATAGGTCCAAACTATACAACGTGCCTTTGTTCTCATTAACATAATGCAAAGCAACACTAATGTTTTGTATGTTTTAATGTTTTTCGTAATACTATTTCCAAAACATTGTGGGCTGCGCAAGATGACCTAAATTTCACTGTTTGATACTAGTTAATGTAAAACAAATAGCATTGTAATTCACTCAAATTGCTGCCTTGTTGTCTTATTCAGATATTAGCCAGAGAGCCAAAAGCACATTTTGATATTATTAATTATTATTTTTCATTACTCTGACAGTTTTCCTGACTAAACAATTTTTGGTCTACTTATTTTAATTTATAAATGTTTTTGTTAATTATTTTTAATTTATGTAATTTTTTTTAAAAAATGTATTTAATTTCAACATAGTGCTAAAAGGGAGCAGGCAAGATACTGTTCAATGGCAGATGTTTATGACTTTTGCATATTAAGTTACCGATACTCAGTGTAATTGAGGCAATCAATTGCCTCAAAAATTTTAAGTTTTGGGTCACATGTTTTTAAGTATCAAGTAGTCAACATATTTGACTAACGTGTACTTAAAATAATGACAACACAAACTAATAAACATTTGAGTTTTGTTAACATAAAAATGTTGTAGTTGTGTACTTATTTTTTATAAGTTCTGTGAACTTATTTCTTTGAATTTGTAAACTTGAAACTTTAAGTCATATTAACTGCAAATATTTGAGTTGACCGTTCTCAAAAGATACAAGTACCATGTAATCCAAACTTTTATGTTCTGGAAAAATTTGACTTTTGAGTTGATCAACTCAAAAAAATTGAGGCAATCGATTGCCTCAATTTTTTTGAGTTCTGGTAACTTATTCGGGTTTACAGTGTAGACTTACAGATTAACAGCACAGATCTTGAACTTACTGGCACAAGAATCCTCTGTCGTTCATAATGTCCTCTCCTGGCAAACAGAGGCCTCACCCTGATTTCATTCGTAGACCCTGTTGAAACAACATCAAACTATTTTCTTACTTAAGAAGATCAACAAACCTTCTCTTTACTTTCCTGTTTTGAGGGTTGTCTCATTTTTGCCCCTGTAGTGCACCTGTTGTTAATTTCCTTAACACCAAATCAGCAAAAACTGATGAACAATGCCCCTCTGCTACTTAACTCAACACATCAATATCCCCAAAGTTTAACTGACTTGATGATGAACTCTGATCAACAAACGTTTCTTTAAATTGTTGATTTTTTAAAGTTCTGAATCAGGAAAAGGCAAGTTTTTTGTTCAGAAAAGAGTAAAATAATACAACAGAATCAAAATGTACGCACATAAATGAAAGTACAACTTCTAGAGTTTGTTTCATGTCACACAAAGTGCATTTTTATAATAATTTGTTTAAGTCACGAAGCACTGGCGCAGCAAAGTTACTGTTCTGTTCTATAACTTATTAACGGCAAAGCTACAGATGAGGATTAGGGCACCTCGGGAAAAAATATATCAACATAGAAAATAAATCTGGTTTTATTAATATCATATGAGATAAAAAATATTCTGTAAATTTGTTTTAATCCATGTAATTTGTCACCTCTTTGGCCACCAGAGGGCCTCAATGTGATCCTCTAAGTTAGACGTCTAAATCTTTTTCCCACTAAAGAGCTGCAAATCATCTCCGATTTATTTAATTAGACACACACGCACGAGATATCTGGATACCCAAGAGCTGAGCAGGCAGGCCCATAAATTCCTCCAAAACTGTAACTGAAAACATTTAGTGACATAGGCCCGAGGTCACATATCTGAGACTGCTGAAAAAATGTAAAACGGTTCACACCAGGGGTATATGACAGTGCATGAATGTATACTGCTATAGAGACAGGTCAACTCTCAATTTGCAGCTCATATAATTTTATGGCAGTAATAAATCACTCCTCAAATAGATGAGACAAGATTTGCCTAGACACTGGTGGATCTCTATAGATAAGCAGCCGCAGCAACCTCACACCCTGCTTAGCAGCACACTCTGAGACTGACAAGGTGATTTATTCGCCCACAAGCTGTCAGTTCTAGACAGGTGATAGAGGTGCCCGGAGCTTTTACTGCCGCGTGTCTTCCCCTTCTTATGTGAAATCCTGATTTATGTTTTAATAACATGAATAATAACACGGATGTAAAATGTATAACCCCCCAAAAACAAAATGCTTTAACCACTTGATATTAAAACTTGATCAATCAGCAGGAAATTGCACAAATAAGATTAATATTATTGTTATTATTATTGAAGACTCCCATAAAGTGTTGTCATGTTGATATACGCTTTCATAGGTGATGCCAGCTGTACCGTTATGCGCTACGAGGAGTGGGCCTCCTCCTCTGCGGCTCATGTTGTGCTGATGAATCATGGGAGATGCCTGACGTTTTAAACACCCTTTAAACTCTTTAAGTGGAAAACGTTTGGTGGTGCTTTGATCCCCGACTGTAATCCTAGCAGAGCGCACTTCTGCAGTTAACAGTAAGACTTGTCTAACTTTGCTAAAATTACACAGCAGTAAATCTGAACGCACATAAATCAGTCACAATAAAAAAGATAGCGAACTCAAATACTCTAACTTTAAACACTTGTAAATCTGACCTAAGTGATATATCAGAAAGTGACACGTCCCCACTGCTACTAAATATGCTTGTCATGCTCTTTGCTGCTTTAACTATGTGCAGACAATTGAATTTTTACAGTCAGCTTTGGAGTGTGTGGAAATACAGCACAGAAGTGGTGGTGGGTAAAGGTTTGATCGCACTGTGTGTAGGATAGCGTATTCAGAGCCATTTCATATACCAAGGTGTCGTTTACAGAGGATAATGGCTCGGAGATCAAGACACATATAAAGTGAGTGCTTTTTACAGCCTTTAAAGCAGGCATGTGCAGTTCATTTTCCCAATGGGGAATCAAATGAAAGTACTATTTGTTTCACTGTGCAATACCATCAGAGGTGGGAGGTAACGAAGTACACATACTTCTGTGCTCAAGTAGAACTTTTCGGTATCTGAGGGCCACATCAATCAGCTGAACTCAGTTTTGCTCAATATTCATTTTTTTTATCTCTTTATAAGTTTATAAAGGCCCCGGTTTCTCACGTGGGCCACTGGGAAAATTTATTCCCCACCTCTACTTTACTAAAGGCTGTTTTGACTTCAGGGATGAACACAGCCAAAAAGATAGAAAGACACAAATGTTCTGTTCTGTTCATGAAACTTGGTGTCTCACCACCATTTGTAACACATTTTTGTCACAAATGTGACATCAAAATGAACCCAGCAGCTGTCCCATATCCTCTAAGCACTCCCAGGACTCACACTAATCCTCACATTATGTGAGACTGCAGGTTAATTTCAGCAACGCCATTTTTTTTTTCTTATCAATTCATCCTGACAAATCACATTTAAACCACCCCCAGCTTTACTCTGAGACTGTTTAAGCGCACAACAGCAGCGTGATATAAAGGTGGCCACTTAAGGTGGTATTACGTCAGTCCTACTATACTTTTTGTCCCTCACCCTGTACAGCAGACTTGTGCAATTCTTTTTAAATAAATACATTTTATTTATTTTGTGTTATTATTTTTTATTTTTATAATAGCCAAAAACGAAGTTATCGGTTATTACTTTAATGAGGTCCAGCCATTATTACAGTCTGCTGTTTCTGCTGGCTTGTAAACCAGCAGCGACCTCGTGGTAAATTATAAAGTGTTATCCCACACACTCACCTGTGCCATGAGAGGCCTTCCTCAGCGGCACATCCCCGCGGGCAGCGGCTTCACGGTCGTTGATTCGACGACTTCCGAAGGCCAGCTGCACAATGCACAGACACAGCAGTGCCAGCTTCATCCCGACTCTAAGCTTCATCTCCCTCTTGACACACAGGACCCCTGACGGGAAAGGCCTTCCTTGTGTTGCGATGCCAGCTGAAGCCTTCAAACCCAACCTGTTACTTGGCTGGCCTGTTCTCTGTGTCCGCTTCTCACTCCTCTCCAACTTTAATATATTAAGGAGGCAGGCTCACACACGCATGGTACACACCCCACTTTGTCTCAGCGCCTTCAAACCACAGTGACCGACGGAGTCCCTTTATTCACTTTAAACAAATAGATTTGTTCTGCCTTTATATAAAAAAATAAATAAGATAACGGCTCTTACGCAAATAGAAAAAACATTTATTAGCCACTTCACAACATAAAGAGAGCAGATTTATTCATGCACATGTAACAGGATGAAATGTTGTTCCTAATAATCTGAAAGAAGTTACTAGTGTGTCTTTATTTGGATTTTATCTGAAGTCCAAGAGCTGAATTTAGAGAACATGATTAAGCTGTGAGACAGAACACAGACTGGCAACCTGTGACGGATGTTTTTATGTGATAACTTTGTCCATGTGGAATTTATCTAATTGTATTCCTGTTGCCTTCCCCTGAAGCCTTGAGACATGAACGAGGATATAAAAAGTTCAAACTTCTTCAGTGAACCTTGCCTTTTGTAGGTTGAAGAAAGCACACACGACGGAAACCTGCAAACTGTACGTGACATTCAATTATTATACAACAACACTTCACGAAGGAAGAAAGTTCAGTCATAATATCAAAGAAGCTTTTAATTTGAAACGTGTTTAAAATGATTGGCAGCGGATTTAAAGGACATGTAACAATATCTCCTTTCCATGCTGACAAAGCGAGTCAGAAATGAAAGGCAGCAGCTTGGCCTTAAGCTCCACATTGCACTCTTATATAGCTGCAGTAGATATGTGTTTGTCTGCTTGGTGGGGATTCTTGGTCAGGACTTTATCAAAATATATATTTAGCTGTACTTTGTGACTTATACTCCCTGTGTGCCCGCTGGTTATAAAGAAAGCGTTAAACCCATGGATACATTTATAAGACACAAGAGCTACATTTTCAGTCTCATGTACATAATAAGAGCTTCATCTGGCATCCACATGTTAATACAGCCACAATAAAATCTTTGACTTGGTGAATAATGAGTCTGATAAAGCGTTTTATTATCAGAGAGACTCTATTGTTGCTTAAAATCCATTCAATCACCAACCCCTCCCCTTAAAAACCGTGGCCTCCGAGCTCTGAAAGGTCTGTGGGGAGATCCTGCAACTGATTATCTTCTAATAGGTAATCGATGCTCACAGTTCTGTTGCAGTTTGTGCTGAGTTGTATAGCGAGCAAAGATATTTCAACTTGAGCACATTATGAGCTCAAGAGTTCAAAGAAATCAATCAATCAAGCAGATCTTAAAAAAAAAACATACTTACCTAAATGTTTTGAGTTTCCATGACAGTTTGTCTCTTTTGGAGTTGCTTAAGCAGATAATTCTTGACTCTTATGCAAGATGATTGACAGGACTGTGCAGTTCTTAAGACACCCTTCATTTCTCTGTATTGTTTTTCCTGGTAGCCAGATTCTCTTTTTTCCTCCAGGGTTTCTGGAGCTGTTTCAGTTTTTTCTTTGGCTCTTTGGCTGCTCTTTCACTCATTTTTAGTTCAGTCCTTGTACCTGATCATTTCCCTCTGACAATGGTCAGGTACAGGTTCTTGATGTTATTGTTTGCAAGCCATTTAACACTGACTCATGAATTGTTCAAGCATAAAAAGGCACTGAGTGTATGAACCAATGCTGTGTCTACAAATAACAGCTCAACTTAGCAAAGCATGATTTTAAATTGTGTCTTTAGGCATTTTGTTACTAGCTGTGGTACGTAAAGGTACACAAGAACTGGACTGAAAATTGGTGGCAACAGGTCTGATGGAGTAATGAATCCCAATGAAACATTTCTGGTTCAAAAAATTGTCGTATGAAAAGAGGAGGTCAGAAGTTGTGGCGAGTGTCTACAACCATTTGTAAAACATGGAGGAAGCTCTGTGGTTTCAGCCAGTGGTGTTGGGATCTAGTTAAAACTGATGAATTACAGAGGCAGAGAAGTAGATTTTGTTCCACTATTCAACACCATCAGAGGTGGGATGTAACGAAGTAATAGTACTTTGTAGAATTTTCAGGTATCTTTACTTGAGTTGTTTTTTTTCTGACAACTTTTAACTTTCACGCCTAACTTTAAACAAATATCTGTACTTTCCACTCCTTACATTTTCAAAACGGCCTCAATACTTTTGCTTTAACCTATTTGAGAGGAATTATTATTTCACGTCACTATGAGCATTCAAACTTAAAACCGAATTGAGGCTAAACGGTAACACGTGAGAGGAAATCCTACTCGTGTATTAATCACCAGAGCATGTCACTTAAAAAGAGATGAAAGAGGCAAAACCATGTCATGTTGTCAGGGGTTAAAGTGGGGCCAGTTTTTTCCCTGGAGCAACACCGGGACGAGAGCAGATGCCCACGAGTATTTATTTCAGCATGTAGGTAGTGCTACAAAAGAGGGCTGAGGGGTAATGCTCTTTAAATAAAAGGTAATTTCAAATGCAGTGAAGTTTTCAGTAATAATGTGTGTTTGTCTCCCAGTGTGTTGCTAGTTTTTCACAGGGAGAGAAAAGAAAGAGAGCTAACTTCACTCAGAGATGGAGAAAGATAAGAAAGACAGGAATTTAAATGTTAAGCTGATGATACTTAGATTTATTTATTGAATTCCACCTTCAGTATAAAGAGAGCATAAACAGGACAACTCATAAAACACCTGCTTACATTTGTTGAATGCCGTTGTGTAAATCCTCAAAGAGGAGTAAACCTCAGAGCAGCAGTAGCCCAGATCAGCTGATCACAGCCTGTACATGGAAAAAATCTACTGAAGCCCACAATAGAAATTGGGATTCTTTTCCCCACGTTGAGCCAATACAACCGATTTTTAGGGTTCCACCCCTGAGTGCACTCATTCTCTGTTAAGAGGCAAAGTTTGTAATAGAGACAAGAGAAAATAGAGATATTTTTCTTTCTTTTTCTCTGCTCATTTTCTGCTTATATGCTTCAAGCAGAATACATTTATTGGAATTAAAATTTAAACCGAAGTAAAGTTTTTATTCTCCTTTATTAAGTCACGTCACCTATTTCCCCCCTTTTTTTTTAAATATGTAGAAATGAACAGCAGTATATTGCGAGGAACAAAGGCCTTAAGGTTTTCAGTGGCAGCTTCCAAACAGATAATTTAAGATGACTTGCATTTAATGAATGACGACTTTTAATGGAAACCTAAGAAGCTGTTAAAAAAAGCCATTACTTTATTTCAATCTGTCAAGAAAAATATGACCCAGATGGTTCTGTGCAACTAAGAGCATCAAAGAAAAATTCTATATGCGCCAGGATATGAAAACCAGACTCAGCGCCTCCGTCACTGTCAGATGTTGTTGTTTTTGTTTTTAAAAAGGCTCAGTAGGCCAGAAAAGATCGACAGTGAGCTGCCATGGCGCTATGGATGTCATCCATCTTTTATTATTTTAACCGGGAATATGCAAACATCTTCAGGGAGCAGAGGGCACACAAATTATTCTCTTTATTGAGCTTGAAACCTGCCACAAAACCAATCTTATAAAAAGCAGTTCATGGGGAAAGTCCCCGAAGGGTCTTTAACTGGTTCCTTGAAAACGTTCAGAAGAACTTCCCACTTGAGACACATGGGAGGAGAGCTGGTGTCTGTGTCCTCCACTTGAAACTGTGAGTCAACACAGGAAAAGGAGACATACAACATCACAACTCAAAAGCTGAGAGTAGAAATGTCAAAACCCAAACGAAAGTGGCATCACATAAAGAGCGGGCACTGATGGTAACTAATATACTTTGCATCTTTACTTAAGTCAGTGTTGTTACTAAAAGGGTGGTAGTGGGACTGAAACCAGAACAGAGGGAGTAATAAAATGATTAGAAGGTGCACTCTGCAGGTCAGCAGAGGCAAAATTATGTCTTTACAGTACAGTCGTCCCTCGCTATAACGCGGTTCACCTTTCGCGGCCTCGCTGTTTCATGGATTTTTTTTTTTGTGCAATTTTGCATGCTTTTTTTTTTTAACGCCGCATTATGTTCTGCGTCCTGATTGGCTGTAGACCATCGTCAATAAATCTCCTCCTTGCAGTGTCTCCCGTACAGTACAGACTGTGTTCAGCTTGTCAAATTTACATAAATTTTCGATCGCTGGCAGTGTGACTCAGAAGTGCTGCACTGTATGTTTGTAAGTTTTCTCCCCAACAAACACAACAACGTCGATGTTTCGCACCATCAAAGGCACCTGAGGTAGCATCCAAAAGGCAGAGGAAGATGCTAACAATCGCACAGAAAGTTGGACTTCTGGACATGCTAAAGGAAGGTAGAAGTTACCGTATTTTCCGGATTATAAGGCGCGTTAAGCGAAACAAAACAGTCAGATAAGTCAAACTTTACTCAACTCATTCTTCTTGCTTCCTCCACGTCCGTACCATCGATTCATTAATGTTGAGTTTTCTGGCAGCTGCTCTATTCCCATGTTCTGGACCTGAAAACAGGGTTTAATCTTTGGTTTCCTTCTATAATACTGGACTTATTTTTCTACGAAGGTTTGAACTTTGAGAGTGTTTAAACAAGAGAGAAAAGTGTGAAAATGTCCATGCCTGTCTGAGAAAAGTGTATAAAGTGTGTAGTGTTTTACAGCCTCACAACATCTATAATAACTGTAAAAAAACAAAGTTGCTACTTCGTGTATTTCACCTATCGCGGGTTATTAGAACGTAACTCCAGCGATAAACAAGGGCCCACCATATATGAAAGATTACACTATTTAAACTATGTGTATATATGCATTTAAAAAGAGCCTGGCAGAGTTCCTTCCTTGTAACGTGTCAAAGCTGAAGAACCACCTTCAGCAGCAATAACTCAAAGCAACTGTTTTCTGTATGACTATCAGTTTCTCACATCATTCAGGAATTTTGGCCCACTTTCCTTCACAGCATTGATTCAGTTTATTGAGGTTTGCTGGCCTCGGTTTATACGCAGCGCTCTAAAGTTTGCATTATTTTAATGGTGTTGAGTTCTGGACTTTGACCGGGCCCTTGCAACACCTTGATTCTTTGCTTTTTCAGTCCTTCTGGCATATTTTTGCAGTTTTGCTTGGAATCATTGTCCTGTTGGGTGGCCCGTGTGTGGAGTTTCAGCCAAGACTCCAGAAAAATGAGCGTCCAGGTCATGTGGCTGCATAACAAGCCCAAATCATCACCCCTCCACCACTGTGCTTGTATGAGGTGTTTGTGCCATTATTCTTTTTTGGATTTCACCCAACATGATGCTGTGTTATGGCCAGTCGCCATCACTTTTGTATCCTCTGTCCAAAGGACGCTGTTCCAGAAGCCCTGAGGTTTGTTCAGATACAGCTTTGCAAACCTGAGCTGTGCTGCCATGTTTTCGTTTTATATTTACTTTCTCCTGACTCCTTTGCAAACAAGTACAAGGTGGAGTGCAGTGTTGTAAACTAAAAATAGGAACCACAGACACAGGTACTCACAAGTGTTGAATAACAGACTGTTACATCCCCCAGGAGGATGTCTCTTCTCCTTACCCTTTGTTTTGTCCAGGCTCCACCTCCTCTGTCCTGATTGGATGCTGCGCAGAGTCCGGCTAATTGGTAATCAGCAGAGCACTATTTAAGGCCTGTGGAGCTGTGCTTCTGTGCCCTCTGGCCATTTTGGTTGCCATACTTGTGCAGGCTTGCATGCCTTTGTATCTTGTATGAGCATTGTTGTTTTCATGTTCAGACTGCTTGTAGGGGAGAGCTGCCTTTTGTTTTGACACCCTATTTTCTCCTGTTTATGTGTTGTTAGGTAGGTTATGGTTAGAGGTTGTATATTTTGTTTCTTTGGAGTTAGGTAAGTTTCTTTTATTTCTACATCAGGGATGTTTTGTTTGTTATGTTGGCCTTGGCTCTCCCTGACGTTATACCTCAGTCTGAACCCACATCCCATCACCAGTATTAAATAAGACTGTCAGAGCAAACCCACACAGTCACAGGGAGAACACGTGAACCCCACAGAGGAAGGCTCCCAGCCAGCCGGCAGATTCAAGTTTAGAGCCTTCTTGCTGTGAGGAAACAGTGTGAACCACTGCACCACTTGGTATCCATCTAGCGGGTGGAAAACAACTTGACATGTTTGAGGAATTGTCATATGTTTGCAATTAAAATCTAGGAAACAGAAAAACACACTTAACTTGGTCATTCAACAACACATTTCTCAGATCGTGTTAAAAACCTCGGTTGATCTCTGCAGCACATGAAGCCCTGGCCCAACAGCGCCTGGAGATAATCATCCTCTTGGCTAACTGGATATCAAAGATCATTTATGTACATACATACTGGTTTGGCCAATAACCCATATTCACTGATATCATAAACATTTTCAGACTGTCTTTGAATGTCTTTTTTGTCCATGTGTGGAGTATTAATGCTGACCTGTACTCGTTTGTCTCTCCTAAAAACACAATTTCCTTTTCAAAAATGTAAGTTCAGCGCTCTCCACTAAGAATCGCTTCAGGTATGCTCTCTATGCCACTGTCTTACAGCCAGTTTGACCCATGTTCAGCTGTAGCCACTAGTTTCAGTGATAAACAGACATACTGTGAAAAAGTAGTTGCCCCCCTTCTGATTTCTTAGTTTTTTCTGACGTTTACAAATTTAAGATCAAACACTAAATATTAGACAAAGAGATCCTGAGTAAATACAAAAATGCAGTTTTTAAATTGACAATTTCATTTATTAAGTGAGATAAATTTCCTCCCCAGGGATGTGAAACACTCACAGTAATGCAGATAAATTGAGTAAAATCCTTATGAAAAAAGATCAAGGTTTTCTAATGATCCTTACATGAGAGTGAAAATTAATCAGCAGTCGGTGGTCACGTGATGTTTAGATACAAATAAGAGGCTTGCAGACAAACAGGGTTAGATTAGAAGAAATCTGCAAACACATGTTTTCTAACTATAACCACCAGGATTAACCAGCTATAAATAAACTGTCTTATTTCAGCACGATGCACATGGATCACTGATTTTTCCTTCAAACTTCTCTGGCTTCAATCCTAGAACATTATATGATATAAACTATGTACTCAAGTGCATATTAGTTTTCACATTTCTACATGTGAGAGATTAATGGTGTATTAGGCAACTCAGCACATGAAACCACCTGCTTACAATGAAACTCGTCTTTAATCAAGAAATTCATGTATATTTCAATTTTAACATTAATGTTCTGGACAAAAGACAGTACTGCACTGCATTCAGCAATGGAAATCTACACTTGTACTTTGCCCTGTGCCTTGAGACAATGGCGGCGGCGTTTCATAGAGATACGATTATAACTGTCTCCGGTCACCCATTATGCAGCTGAGGTAAGGAAAGCCTGTGGAAAAGCCACAGCACCTTTTAAAGTCAGCCTCCTCGAGTGTTACACCGTGCCGGAATAAAATTACTTCCATGTGGGCGCTGCAAGTACTTACTGTTTGGACAGCATACGTACAGTGATCAAGGGAGTTCCTCCATAAAGCTGCGTATTAAAAAGGTTGTGGGGGGTTAGTAAAGTAAAGACAAAATGATGGTTTGGACAGATTTGTTTCTTTATGGAAGTATGAACTTCTGCAGTTATGTTATAGCTTGTCTGAAAACACAGTGAAGGCTTTAAATGTGAGGACACAGGAAACACATGCTTTCAATATATCACTCCGTGTTTAATTGCATGTGAATTAAATATTTCTGATAAACATTTTTGCTATAGCATGTGTAACAATATCTACAGCATACATTTCAGATTACTCAGTGAATAAACCCTTTCAATTGGGGACATTACAGATTATGTCAATTTTTATAGTGCAACTACAAGTGTATATCTGAACTAAATTTCCATATCAGTTCATGTAATATAACAAAAGCATCTCTTTCACATATACACAGAAGTGTTTTTAAAACATTAGTTCCATCAGGGGGATGTAGTGGATATGTCACACGTTGTACACAAACCTATAAAGCTATTCCAACATATAAAAAAAAAAAAAAAAAAGAGCCGAGTGGAAATATTCAAGGCACTTAGAATTATACAACAAATGAATTTACAGACAAACAGAACTAAATACAAGTTAACCAAGCTGTGACATTTCATATACAGTTGGGAGCCAGGACAGATCAGGTGAGCTAAAAGGCATATTTCTGTGTTATAATAGTAAAAACAATATCCTAGCAAACATTGCGTGTTGCCATTCATCCATAAAGTGCATCACATGACCTGTTCCAGGCCTAGTTTGAGACAAGTCAACATCCCCCGTAGCCATTATATCCTTCGTAGTCATCATGAAAGAGTGAAAACAACAGCTGCTCAGCACACTCGATCACACGTGAAACGTCTGCCTCTCAAGTGCTCTTAAGTGTAAAAATATGGCTTTAGTGGATGATTTAATGAATAACAGTCTTGATGCAGATAAAGAGCCAACAAAGCTAAACTGTGAGTTTATTAGTTGCCTGTGGCATTCACTTCTTCCTCAAATACCAGCCCGATGGTTTTGCATCCTAACAAGCTTTGAAGGCTTTGAAACGATGACTACGTTGGCCTTGTTTTCCCTCTTTTTCCAGCCCGTCAGGTCTTAAACTTTAGGATTTTTCAGGTAAAAAGAATAGCACCACTGTATACTTGAGGAGCTTTCACCTCTTTGTGTCTTTCACCCAAATTATATAGTTATAATTCTATAATTATACTCCTGAGTATCTCACCTGGTCGATAGTTTTATCAGCTGGGATTTTGAAACATCTGAAATAAAAATTCTGTCGAGGTTTCCTAGGATGCCCCAAAACATGACTAACGTGACTATTGCTGTAACTGCAATGCCAGTAGAAAAAAAACAAAACAATCGACAACGTCCTACGTGGATTATCAAAATACGAAGAAGTAGCTGTTAGATCTGATATCTTAAAATCCACAGCAGCTAAAACCAAATCCTCATTCCTACATATGTGAGCAAAAATGCCATTCTTGTCCTTTAATCACGCCACAGTAGGCCTTGAAAAAAAAAAAAAAAAGGAAATCCAGAAGAAGTGCCAGGAGAGGTCTGGTGTAAAGATTTGTGAAATGACCTTCACCTGGAAAATTAATGCCTTCAAATGTTTATGCATATATGCAGGAATGTTTCTTGGTAACGACACGATTAGTATACATGTCGACCTTTACATTCCTTGGCTTTGACACAGTATGGTACAGACTAAATGCCCCCATCAGGACATGATTTATGACACATGGCACTAAAACAGGGTGGAATGTAGCTTTTAGATGCACCGGAAAGTGGAGACACAATGGCAATTTTCAAGACGGAAGGACCGTCTACCACAATAACAGTAAATGGCAGTACACTGCAATGAGATGAAGTACCTGCAGACCAATCGTTACCAATCCTCTGTCAAACACACCTGTTACCTGCTTATCCTGAGTCAGACTTTTATTTGAACAGCCACACGGGGGTGTCGTTTCCCTGGTTTATAAAGAGGGCCTCTCATAACAACTAAGATACCATAAGGCAAAGGACTGCAGCGAAAACTATTGAGATTATAATTCAGATTTCATATAGATTGTCACAATTGTGAAATCTGCCCTTTTCTCCTTTTTGGTCAAAAATTCAGACTTTGGCTTTGGGCTCTAACTCATGAGGTCTTGTGGATACACACTGGGTTCAAAAGTGAATCATCAGGACCAAGAAATCCAAACACACTGTCAGACAGATCCATTTAGTCCAAAGTCCCAACAAGGTGTTCAACATCTTCTGTAGGTGCCGGATAAAATTTCCCATGGTTTGTTGCTTTTAGTATACAACCATTCTCTTTTAAGTCCAGATCTTGAGGTATCATCCAACTCCATGACTGGACAATGAAACATCACTTGCCCTCTTGACAGGTAGTAAGATGAGATGTGAAAGGACGTGGTAAAGGCAAAGTACAAATAAGAACACAAGAAAAACTAAAAAACAAACAACCCAAACAAACATGTGGACTAATGCTGCAGTGAGGAGGAGGAAAAGAAGGCAGGGAGAACAAAAAGAGATGGCGAGGAAGACCCGGGTTTATTGTTAGTGTTCTGAGTTCTTGTGGTAGAGCTGAGTGACCTGGATGACGGGAGGAGAGACGCTGAGCGACGGACCGCACCAACAGGCAGAGGATCGCACAGGCTGCACCTCACACCTGCCACTGGAGAGAGGGAAGTCAGAGCAGAAGAAATACACTGAGCACGTGACAGAAGGTAACGGGACGAGAGAACATCAGGCAACACAAAGACAGACAGACAAAGATCCAAAGAGGAAATGCAGATGCGAGAGACTAGAATAGCTCAAAGTGTGAGGCATTGATGTGGGGAGACCGAGACATCAAGTTATTGATGCCGCAGCACCAGAATACTGCACGTACAGGTCCCCTGAGAACACAGCGAGACAGGCTTGCTATCCAACTCTATATAGCATCTGTTAAAACACAAGTGATAACAGATAAGGGCATCAGGACTGTTTACATCCCGTCTACATCCTCAAACATCACGTGCACTCACAAAGCATTATATACAGTAGTACTTTTATAGAAGCTGTCAATCCAACAGACGAGAATAGGAAGAAAGAAAAACCTGCACTCCCTCAAATCCAAACACCTACAATGGTCATGTAATGAACATACATCACCACGTGAAAAGGAGGCACAAACACCATTTGTTAGTCATATGTGATGCAGGAGTGCAGTGCAGCACAGACAGAAGAGAGGACAGGACGTTGGAGTACAACAAATACACACCACAGCTGGGGCAAAATCAATTTCAGGTCACTTGCTTTAAAACTAGACTATTTTTAAACACATCCTTTAACTCAGATAGTTGTCCCTTAAAAAGCATAATCCTGTGACAGGTTTAAATCAATATGTGGTTTGTTAAGACCGGACTTTGATCAGGAGACATTTTTCTGAACTAGTTTTACTGAAAGTGAAATCACCCCAATCCGGAGAAACATCCCGACTCCGAGCACTTTAAAGACAGGTTTGTTTATTTTTCAAATAAATCTTAATACAGCACTTACAGGTAATGTGTGCAGCTCCGGGGAACACGGGAATTAAACGCACATTTACCATGTGAGCGCTGCACTTAGACCGACTTGAAAGCAATCCGAACCCATCCTTAAACATGCCAACATCATTAAACATGACATCTTTACTGTGCAGTTAGCAGTGGGATGCATGTTATTGGAAAGAAGAACAGAGTGGGGGGAGGAAACAGTATGCCACAGTGTTAGCCTGCTGAGCTGCAATTGAAAGTACCTCACATGTTATGGGGCTCTTTATTTTCACATTGGGGCAGCACTGCTGTGAAATATGAGAGTGAAAAACAAGTGAAAACATATTTTAAAAAAAGAAAAGGAGGAGAAAGTGGAACAAGGTTTAGAATATTAATGATAATTATCTTCTCCTTAAACCAGAAACATCTTCACAGACATGCATACGCCATTTTTTTTTTATTACCATAACTACATTTACACACTAGTGTGTGCCGTCTTTATGACTCTCGTGTGGGTCTGAAACTCATCACTGAAACGTTGACATTTGTATTTCTTGATTTCAAAATACCAGAAACATAACAACAGCCAGTATTTGGTAAATAATGTCCAATCCTGGAATAAAAAACAACATCTGGGCAGTGATGAGAACCACAGTTCAAACCCACAACGCCCATTGTAGTGAGAAAACCGTGCAAACACCAGAGTCGATTTCAGTATTCATTCCCAACAACTGAACAACTTCCTTTCTGCGTGATGTTGATTTTTATTTTTCGTGTTTCTTTAAAAGTGTAAACATCACTCCTTTTTGAGCATAAACATTGTGTAGATTTAGAGATATTTATGACAACTTGATGTCTTTACTTTTTTGTTTTCTGTCTATTTACATGTTCGAAATTTAACTCTTCTACTGACAGTAAAGAACATTTTTTAAATTCTGATATTAAAACGGTTTTCTACTTGCTTAAAAATGTGAAAACCTTTTCCATGAGGAGGAAAGATACACCGAACCTTGCACTCTGTGAGTCTTACTCCTATGAGATCAGTAAATACTGTCATTTAATTAAATTAGGTTGTAGAGGATGAAGTAAGAGAGGTGCACACTCTTCAGGGCCTATAAATCAAGTTCTCTGCTGTGCAAACCGTTTTCACCCTAATCAGTCGCAGAAAACTGCACGTCCTCAGATAAGACAAATTCTACTTTCCCACTGCTTTACCTCTTGGTAAAACAGTGGTTTTAATAATGAGCTTTTGAGATTTTCAGTCATCTCCAGTTTACTACATTAACTGCAGTTGTAAATCCAACACATCATTTATTCATTTGGCTTCAAGGCTTCCAGCAGTTTATGAGCCGTGATGCCTTTAACTTTCCTGATGGTCTTATGTGGGGTTTTATTAACTCCAGATTATCACGAAAGACAAAAAACATGCAAGTTTTGTGCAAGACGGACAAAATCAAATGGACTGAAATGCCTTGCAAGAAAGCCTGTTAACCTTACGAGAATGCTCCTTAAGGTGGTTTAAATTCACAAATGAACCTTGCCCCTCGACCTTTGATCCACTTTTAAAATAAATGGAAAATCTGCTTTAACTTCGATGTTGTGGCAGCATAAACAGATATAATTCTGTGGAAATCACATGAACTTTGGTTGGTGTCAGGAGCACATTAGAGGAGTAGTAGATCAAACCTACTCCTTGTTTTATCGTTGCCATTTGTGGTTTATGCGAGCGTCTCTTACCCGGTGTCTTCAGGGATGTCCTGATCGGCCTCTGCAGCAGATGACTCCACATCTGCACTGCTCTCACTGCCCTGAGCTGACAGTCGACATGGAGACTCTGGACTAACACACTCATCGCTGCAACAGAGATTCACACACACATCCAAAAGGTCATTCTCCTCTCACATGTGAGACTTTTGTGAATCTCTCTAAGGATGCATACGGTTGTGTTTATCTACTGACTTGATATGCTTTTCCAGTAGTAGGATGGCTTGCTCCCTCTCCTCCAGTCTCCTCTTTAGGGAGGCAATCTCCTTTTGCTTCTCTAGCAGCTCCTTCTGAAGACGATAGTTGCTCTCCTCCAGAGTCTCACAGAACGCCTAGAAGAAGGGGGGAAATGAGGAGCAGAAAATATTTACATCTTTACATGGTCAAAATACCATATAGATAACAACAATGGGGTTTTCTTCAGAAGTTCGTGAATTGAAAAGGCCCAGCGGGCTGTGAGGTCTGTGCCAAAAGCTTCAGCATGCATTTGATGCACATTTAACCTTGATAAGCTGTTGTTAGAATTTTTTTAATATTACTTTCTACACCAGGATCCTTTTCTAGCTGACGGCTGGTAACTGTGCAGGGGCGGATCTAGCAAAGTTTAGCCAGGGGGGCCGATAGGGCATGAACAGGGGAAAGGGGGGCACAAAGACATCCTTTTCTTTCTTATTCTCATTTAAAATGTCTAGCTTTTAATAAATAATTATCTGAATCTTACACCCAAAGTTTTAATTTGATGTAAAATGAATAGAAGTCAATTACTGTATATAGTGACTATTAAGTCTAATAAACCCTAGTAAGCTTTAGAGATGGACCGATATTACGTATCGGTATCGGTCCGATACTCACCTAAATTACTGGATCGGATATCGGAGAAAAATAAAAAATGTAATCCGATCCATTAAATATCACGAAAGCACCTCACAAAACTTGCAACACGCCGTAACTCACCTCAGAACGTTAGCACGTCGGAGCAGTATGCATCACGTTATAGAGCGGCTGTGGCATGCAGGACCTGTCGGTGGTCTGGATAGCATGTGGAGCTTCGCTAGCAACCTGGCATTTCATCTCCGACAAAGTTATCCCGAGAGAAGTAAAGCAAGTGTGTAAGTCCATCTCTGAATGTTTGTAAAGCATTCCTGCGTTAAGCTTGCCAAGCGATATATGGAGCGACTGCCTCTTCTTGCTGCTACTTCAATCATGAAACTGCTTAATGATCAGCTGATCGGCTTTTCTGTCGCGAGTCCGTCTCTCTGGTTTGTTTTTGGCCCACTTTGCACCAGAAAGAGGAAACCAGCGGCTGAACAACAGCAGCACGTTTAAGCTTGATAATCTGTTGTTAGAATTTATTTATTATTACTTTCTACACCAGGATCTTTTTCTACGTAGCTGACGGCTGGTAACTGTGCAGGGGCGGATCTAGCAAAGTTTAGCCAGGGGGGCCGATAGGGCATTAACAGGGAAAAGGGGGCACAAAGACATCCTTTTCTTTCTTATTCTCATTTAAAATGTCGAGCTTTTAATAAATAATTATCCGAATCTTACACCCAAAGTTTTAATTTGATGTAAAATGAATAGAAGTCAATTACTGTATATAGTAACTAATATATATACCCTAGTAAGTTATAGTACTTTTTACTTTGGGAAGGTACCATCTGTGCAGTCTGCAATTTTGTTGAAGAAAGATGTTGAATCTATTTAATATTTCTTGAAAAATAATTGATTTCTGTGCATTTTTTTTTTTCCACACTGCATCAAATTAAGGTTGATTACGTCGATTAAGCATCATGAGGTGGAGCGTGAGGGGTGGTTCCCTATTTTTTATTTATTTATTTTTGTTGTTGCTGGGAGTTGGAACCCCATTAGTTAGGTTGCTTAATATTTATGCTAAGCACTCTTTAAAATACCAGAATAGGGAGGATGGTGTAGGTCTAAGTTTATTAGATTGATCAGTATTGCTGAACTATGAAATTTTTTTTTTTTTTGCATATAGGTATAACAGAATAGCTTAAGTGTAGTTGTTGTTTTAAACTTGAGTATGAACTTATACAAAATGCAGCAAGATATTTAAAAAAAAACAGTTTTGTTGATTAAAAAACACTATATCGGATTCATATCGGAATCGGCAGATATCCAAATTTATGATATCGGTATCGGACATAAAAAAGTGGTATCGTGCCATCTCTAGTAAGCTTTACTACTTTTTCCTTTGGGAAGGTACCATCTGTGCAGTCTGCAATTCTGTTGAAGAAAGATGTTGAATCTATTTAATTATTGTGGAAAAATAATTGACTTCTGTGCATTTTTTTGTGCATTAAATTAAAGTTGATTACATCGATTAAGCATCACGAGGTGGAGGGTGGGGGGTGGTTCCCTATTTTTTTTTTTTTTGCTGGGAGTTGGAACCCTATTAGTTAGGTTGCTTAATATTTCCACTAAGTACTCTTTAAAATACCAGAATTGGGAGGATAGACTAGGTTTAAGTTTATTAGATTGATCAGTATTACCGAACTATCAAATATTTTAGGTGCAGTGTATTTTTTTTTTTTTTTTTTTTTTTTTTTTACATACAGGTTTAACAGAATAGCTTTAGTGTTTTGGTTTTTTTAAACTTGAGTTTGAACTTATAAAAAAATGCAGCAAGATAATAAAAAAACAAAAAAATACACTATATCGGATTCATATCGTATTGGCAGATATCCAAATTTACGATATCGGTATCGGACATAAAAGTGGTATCGTGCCATCTCTAGACGACATATACCATCATGGTTTAGGCACCTGACATCTCACTGCACTGTCTTTTGTAATGAGATTAAGGGTTTCCTTTCCATAACTTTCCATGTTGGCTCTGTTTGCTGCAAAGTCCAAGAACAGTGCTAAGTCTGTTAGCTGCTTTCCGGTTCTTTCATATGAGATTTTCAGTTGCCAGATGTAGTTTTCCTTAATATATTCCTTAATGGCAGGGATAAACAAATTGCAAAACAGCTTTAAAACTAAGAATGCACTGATTCAACTGGGAGGAATCCCGTCCTTCTAAATTTGAATAACACCAGAGGTAATGATTAACTTAAAAGGCAGAGGACAGCTACATGTCCTGTGTCTATCCTGGGACAAGATGTGGAGGAGGAGTAGAAGTAACTGATGCTCAAAAGCTTCAGCATCCAACTTACACATACTCTAAATGCACACTCACCCTGCTCTCCTCCAGACTGTCAAAAGGCCCAGGTGGATCATCGAGACACAGAAACTCTCTCACCGGCAGGCTGTCAAGAACAATAAATGATGTAAGATTAGAAAGATTAGAAAACAGGTCAGCTCACACTGATATCAGTTATCTTTTTAGCTATGCATGTATTTTCCACATAGCTCTGATGCAGCCAACACAAACTAAGAGTTACGGCAAGGTTTGTCTGCAATAATGACCCAGCATGACATAAAATATGGCCCAGTAACATTTTTATTATTAAACATAATAGGCTCATACCAGTTGGCGATGTCCTTGTGTGCAACCAAGTTTTGCAAAAAAGCTTGCAGTCCTAACTGTCTGTCTTCCAGGAAGTTACTGTCATAGTTGTCTTTGAACCAGCGCTTAGGAGGCAGTGAGAGGCGGAAGCCTGGAAACGTCTCCTTCAGCTGGAACAAATACACACAGACACACACAGTGAATGATTGCCCTTACATTCAGCTACAGGCTGTAGGGGCAAAGACAGTCATGTAAGGGCCGTGTAGACATCATGCAGAGATAAAAGTAATAAAGTTGGTGGCGGGCCAAGAAAAACGCTTCCAGCCCACAAAGCAAACACACTCTTCGTCTAGATTTTGTGCTCGGATCAAACCTGCATCCAAACAAAAGAGCACAGGTCTGCTACTTTCTGATCTATATACCTTACTAAATAACCAAATCACAGAAATGTCATAATCAAAAATGTTTTTCATAATAGTCTGTCATCAGATTGTCACATTTTTATTTCACGTGCATTCAAGATACAACCATACATCCAAAAACCCTTAACCCCCCCCCAAAAAAAAAACAAAATTTCAAAATGAGCTTTAAATCTCATGAGCTTTTTTAATCACACAGGTGAAAGTCCAGATTAGTGTTCTGCGCTATGCTGGTGTCATATTACAGACCTCATGCATTTTTGGTGCAACTACACATTTCTTAATGTGTTACTTACCACTGTGTTAAATCCAACATGAATTCTTTCTTGTAGTAAACTTGGCTTCATTCAGCAGAAATGCTTTCCTCACAAACTGTTCCCATGGTCACGGGTGGTGAGACGTACCTCTATTAATAAACCTATTATTCCAGCTTCATTCTGAGCTTAAGCTTTGATAGGATATATGCAAAGTGTTTACATGCAAAACCAGACTGTTTGTAAAATGTTCATAGCTGCATAGTGAGTAGGAGGCTGGAAGAGTTTTACATGAAAACTTGTTGTGTGAGGTTTAATATAGCCTGGACACAATAGGTATGTATACAAGTGTGACTGTCTGAAACATTAGTATACAAATAGAAAGCACATGGGTTTTGCTGTGGTTACGCAAGGTGTTTCCCATACATGTTGCCAGGTTGGTATTTCTGAGGCTAGAAGATTCGACCTGCCTCATTTCTGTCAGCTGTTTATTTACTTTCCGGCTCTTTGAAAAGTTGCACCAAAATGTTGAGAAAAAGCACCGAGTTTTTTAAATGGACTAACAATGAAGTGGAGTTGTTGCTGCGAGTAACACAAAAGTACAAAGTTGCAAAAGCGAGTGAGAATTAAAGAATTTGAAAAAGCTATCTGGATATATCTTTATATATCTTTAATAGGGCTGTCAAAATTGAGAGCAAACAAAACAACTGCTGTATAATCAGGGGTGCACATAAGTGGTCCGCAGGTGCGCTGTCAAAATAAAAGACGCGAACCAGATAAGTTACAACGTGCGTTTGCGTACATAAGATTTTCTGGAGGAGGACAGACATTTGTTTAGAACTCTTTGTTTAATTGGTCACATGACTGCATCATATGACTAACATGCGTCTCCGTTTTTGCTGTCAACACTGCGATGCGAAAACACTGTTTTGAAATGTATGCGTTTTCGAGAGCGTTTTGAAAACGCTGCCTCAGTGTGGACGGGAGGCCAAAATGGAGAGAAAACGATGCATTAGTGTGGACGTAGCCTGAGATCCTCACTGTCACCTAGGACTGCCTACTTTCTTTGGAGTATATAACGGTTTCTATAAAAGGTTCTGCCTATTGATTTCAAGAAAAATGACAACATGTTGCCAAATGTTTCTGCTGAATAAACATACAACCTCACTGTATCGTGCTAAAGTCCCTCTATTGAAGTCAAAGAGCATTCAACATTTAGGACAAGTCTGGTGATATTTTTGACTGTATGTAGAGAGGTTTAGGAGACATTGTGTTAATATGTGGTCCCAGTGTCAATTTACTCAGAGGGAGGTGGCCTGGGGTGTGTAAACATGTATGCAAACCTGTCTGCTTTCACCATGCGATTAAACTTCACAGTGAAGCTATGCTGACTGAGGTCTGAACCTCAAAATAATGTTTGTGATGAACCACCCTGTACAGAGTCAGTGCTCTATTATACAAACCATACTATACAGATCATGCTAGGTATTTCTGCCTCGTATTTGCTGGTCCCTCTGAAGCGTTCACTCACGGCAGCCAAGTACTCTCATCCCTGTAACCTTTCCAAGGTAGAGCTAAAAAATTTAATCCTAACAGAATAATCAAAACACACTTCATACTGACAGATTTCCAAACTGTGATCAGTCTCATTGATACAAACATGTTCTCAATGAGACATCCACTGATGATTACTGTGAGCTGCTTTTAATAGGCTTAAATTCTTCAAACCTTACACCTTTTACATGATTTCTCCATCCATATAGTATTCTCATATAATAGTATGTCTCCTCTGTTAACTGTGATTATATACTCTGAAAACCACAAGAGACCAGAGCTCCTAGTTGGCTCAGGCCCGCTGGCTGTTTGGGAACAGTAGGCTTCTTTGTGTAGCTCGAATCATGTTCACTGAGCATTCAACAACTAAAGAAAGCTTGCTGAAAGCAGAGGGATTGATAGTCGAAACCAGTTGCTTCAGTTGTGGCAGGATTATAATAAGGTTTACCCTCATGTAGTTTTCCAGTTTGGGACGGCTCATTTAATCCCATGCACAGACAACACACCCAAACACACCTTGTCATTGAGTCTTGAGAAGTCAGCGTATCTTCTGAAAACAACCCAGCTCTCATCTAGAGTCTTTCTCACCAGGATCTTATACACCTGCAGTAGAGAAGGCAGATGTTAATAACTGCTCACCATGTTTGCTTTAGTGTTTAGTCACTAATAAATACAGACTAAATCTAGCACAGACAGCGGTTGCCATGCTAACTAATTTTCTGGATTCCTACCGTGAACTTGGCCCTCTCCTCCATGACCTCATACCCCAGCACAGTGGGGGTGATAGGCCTCTCCTCAGCTTGCTGGCTACCACTAGGATCCGATATAGACCGCGGACAGCTCGAGTATTCGACAGATGGTTCCAGAGTCCCGTTCAACTTAGCCCGTGTCACAGGGCTCTGAAGGGGTGGGGGCGTTCGGCTGCGGCCACCCCTGTCCGCACAGCGAGACTGATGTTGGGAATCTAATTCTCCGCATCCGACTCCCCCATGTTCCTCCCCAGCCATCCTGGCGATTGAAGACGAAGACTCTGAGCTGCTGGAGACACTTCCTAGCGATGAAGCTCGCTGCGCCCGTCTCAGCTTGTTGCTACCACGGGACAAGGCTCTGTCCATGGGCACAGGAACAGGCACAAAAGGTGATGCCATCTTCCTGAGTTGTGTACTCCTGCCACACCACCATAGAAGTCAATAAAGCTTTTCACACCAAGCTTGTCTTGGTACAGTAGTGTTGTGTGAGGATGAAGTCTAGCAGCAATTCTGAGCCTGAAGGGCTGACATTGAAGACTCTATAGAAAAACAACAACAACAGGAGTTATTAGGTGTAACATTATATGGAGGATCATTACACTGCCTCTAAATAATCTGTATTTAAAACCTAATCTACTTAATTCGCCCTGAGTCTACATAAATGTGGCACAATCTGTCAAGTACCTCACAAACCCAGGGCACGTGAATTATTGACACGAGCCCCATATGATTTATAATTTATGAATTTGTGTATTATGTGTAAAATTCATTACGGTAAAAGCCTGTAAAGATTAGATTCACATGTCAACTTGAATGAAACAGAGCTGCATGTTGGTTTTCATGAAAGAGAGAGGCCAGAGAAATCAGCAGCTACCTGTCTATTTTGTTCGTGTTAATTCAGCTTCAGAGCTGCTCAGAAACCAGTCAATCCACTCCATAGGAGTACAAATGAAGAGCGTTTAAGAATACTACTGACGTACTCGTAATGGGAATATACGCTGTAAAAATATAGCGATTATAAATAAAATCTGGCAGGCAAAAGTGGGGAAAAAATAACTCAGCAGCAGAAAGAGGATGAAAGGATAGATGTAAGAAGTAAACACAATGAGACATGTCATTTATGGCTCTCACTAATTGACAAGGTCCTGCTGCTATTTTGGTGAAACACGGCGAAAACTCTGGGACGGCAGCCAGCGTTACAACAAAACACGGGCTTTCTAATGTAATTGCCCTGCTTCGTAAACATAAATGCCAGTTTTAGACCAAGTCGCTAACGATATAGCTACCCTCTATGTTATTTTAGCAAGCAAGCTAACCGCATTCACTACGATTCACGACGTCCTTTCTGAGCTCTGAGAACTTCATTAACAAAACATGGTCGTGTAATAGTGTTAACCCGCCTTTCAGTTTAGAGAACTACTATCAGAAAACCACAAGAGTACAGTTTATAAAACGTTACCGTTCTCACCGTCAAAGTTAGCTACACTTTAACATGAGCTAACACTAGTTAGTTTCACTACAATACAAAGTACGCTAACAACAATTTTACTGATATAATAGCTGTTTACAACAACAATTGAATGCCGAATGCAGCAAGAATTACCAATACTGCGTCGGATATCTGTTTTTATTCTCCTGGTAGCATTTTTCCCAATAATAAACAAACCAACAGTTAAATAGCCCGGTTTTAAACCGTGTTTGGTGCGTCCCCCATCCCACTGAAAGAACCGGGCATGTATCACATTACATTCAGGTTAGCTAGCGAGCTAAGACGACCCCGAGTGAAAAGGTCTTTCGCTTACCGTAGGAGTCCAGATATCCTTCTCTGTCCGAAAATATGTTTACTACAGACATAGAGCCAAATGTGTAGTTGCCCCGTTGCTGTTTACCCGCCGCCGTATCTCCTCCCTCTGTGTTTTCATGTTAGCATGCTGGAACTCTGACCACAATGACGGCAGTACCTTTGCATAACCAGTAGAGTGCGCAGTAACACGCTTAATACTATATAGAAAATGTAATTCCTCAGCAAAAAAGTAGACACAAGACTTAAAGGGATTTGAAACAGGTACTATCAGAAAACACACACAGACACACACACAAAGGTTTTAGGCAGGTAGGGAAAATGCTGTAAACAAGGAATGCTTTGTGTTAATCATTTATTTTCATCAATCAACAAAATGCAGTGAATGAACAAACGAGAAATCTAAATCAGCTCAATATTTGGTGTGACCAACCTTTGCCTTCGAAACAGTATCAGTTCTTCTAGGTACACTTGCACACATCTTTTGAAGGAACTCGGCTGGTAGGTTGTTCCAAACGTCCTGCAGAACTAACCACAGATCTTCCGTAGATGTAGGCTTCCTCACATCCCTCTGTCTCTTCATGTAATCCCAGACACACTTGATGATGTTGAGATCAGGGCTCTGTGGGGGCCAGACCAGTACTTGTTCTTCTTCTTTACACTGAGGATAGTTCTTAATGGCTTTGGCTGTATGTTAGGGTCATTGTCCTGCTGCAGAATACATTTTGGACCAATAAACAATCATTTATATTTCTGAAAGCATTCTCTCTCCCTCCCTCCCTCCCCCTCCGTGTGTGTGTGTGTGTGTCAATAATTTAAACCTATGAAGAATCATTCCATAGAAATACCTGATTCCTGGAACGAGCTGAATGACCACATGGCTGTTTTTTCAATGTCATTGAACGTGCCACATAGGTTGACACAGAGAATGAACTCTCCAAGTCCACTTTGACTTATCATGTAGCAAAATCACACACACGCCACACACACACACACACACACACACACACATGCACACACACAAACTTATTTTTCTAAAGCTTGCACCATAACAGATTATGTTATGCAAATCAGTGTGGTTGGTTATGGGTAAGGATGTTTTTGAATTCTGAAATAAATCAGAGTACTGTGGTGAATAACCGCAAAGACATTTTGCACTTTGTCATTTTTGTCATCATGTAGTAGAGGGAGAAAAAAATGTGTGCAAATATGGTTTAGAATACATCAAACATTATCCAAATATTTTCAGTGTAAATGGACAAAAGAGTCCTTTCAAATGGCACCTACTGGAGCGCTTCCAGTCTTTCTTCTTCTTTTTTTTTTGGATCAGTCATTCTGTGATTAATTTAAACGAGGAAAATTTTAAAGAGCTTCCCTTTCAATGTCTTCTTTAGTAATGATCTCTTTGTATGATTGGTCATCACGCACCTACCCACCAGACAGACTCCTGCATGTGGAAAATGTGACTCATTTGCACAGCATCTCAAACACACCTCACATATAAACATCGTAAACAAAGAACAATTTGTATGGAGCTGCTTCTGAAGATTATTAAATAAACTATCAACTATTACTTGCACTTTGTCTTCTTCTTAGCATCCATTTATCCATTCATCCCTTTTCTGTATGAGTTTTTTCTTTTCAGGGTAACTTGAGGAAACGGGTCCAAGACACACCCATTGGCACTAGATGTGCACCCATCAGGGTGGGTGCATGTTTCACTAATGGGTGTGAGCTCTTAATCATTTCTCAAGCTGAAGCCACCTACATGAGCCTGGGTGTGTCAGAGAAGGCTTAAAAACTGCGTCATTTAACTGAAACAGTCTGGATCATTCCTTGAGTCAGAGGAAGATTTTATGTCAGTAAGTAGAGGATGTCAATCATTGTTACTGGAGCGTGAGGATAAGAAAGGTAACAGAGAAAGGTAACGGTCAGACTTTACTCGACTAACAGCTCTTCTTTCATACCTTCTGATACAGTTTATCGGGATCAACAGAGATTTAAAGGTAAGTGAAGAGATCATGAGGAAAATAAGTTTTGTCCAAAGTCATTGACAAAAACTTTGGGAATGGTGCAAATTTTGTGTTTCATACATGTTCCCTTTTTATTCAGCTTATTCTCTACATGTTTCTGATGGAGAATCATAAACATTTCATAAGTTTCTTTTATTGGGAAACAAATCAAATGTGACCCTTCTTATCTTCTGAAATTCTTCCTGGCACAAGCGTCTGGGCTATATCCTGACTGATGAGGACCCATCCCTGCCTCATCACTGCACTTTTAAGGATTGATCATAGATTATAGATCAGACTAAGATCTAAAGAGTTTCCTGGATCCAAAATATTAATTTGATTATCTCCAAGCTGCATTGTTATCACTTTGCCTTTTGCGTCATCACACTGGAAAACACACAGATTGCCACCAAATTGCTCCTGGATTGTTGGTTTTTGAGGACATTCCTTAAACAGATCACAATCAGGCAGGATTTTGCCCAGAAGCTAAAATTCAGGATACCAGGAAGAAATGCAGAATTTATAAAGAAGTGTCTGTTCTTTAAATGCTGTGCATACATTTGCTGTAAGTCTTTGAACTTTATTAAAAGCTTGATTGTTTATTACTATATAAAAAATAGTGGCAGAAAAAAGTGGCAACCTGTATCAACACGTTGATATATGACATCAGTTTAATATTTATTTATTTATTTATTTATTTTTAGATACAATGGCATCATCAGTCCCTGTATCCAAAGCTAGCACTGCCTTCTCTCTGGCTATGCTCAAAACGTTGAGTGAGGAGGACAGCACTGGAAACATCTTCTACTCTGGTCTCAGCGTCTCTGCAGCCCTCGCCATGCTGATGCTGGGGGCGAGGGGCAGCACAGCCACACAGATGTCAGAGGTAGAATATGCACATGTTGTGAAATACATACATGTTGTGGCACCCATTGGGATCAGAGCGTCTGCTTTCAAATATTATGGGAAGTGTGTGTGAATCTGTCTCATCAAGATAAAAAGAGGAAGGTGTGGTTTCAGGTGTTCGGGTAACTGAGTGCACAGTACAGTGATGTATGAAGGATTTAAAGGAGAGTAAAAGCAGGTTATTTTGTATTGAAAGGAGATAATAATAGGAGATCACAAATATATTTTAATACATTTTTATAATGGGGATAATGGGAAGGTTTGAGGAGGGTTTCTAGTGGAATTTTTTTTAACCCAGCAGGCAGAGTGGGGTGTGACAGGAGAAAGTGTCTGTGCAGGCATTCATTACTCACTTGGTTTCCCAGTGTCAGCAAAACAGGTAGGGAATGCTTGTGTTGGCTGAGGTTCAGGAAAGGAATAATGAATTCCACTGCACTGTGAAGCATGACATCAAACAGGAGACTTTGAATTTCAGTCAGGACAAGTTCCCGATTAGCTACTGGAATTAGACAAGAACAAGCCCAGGCAGGCTTTTTTTTCCCCTGTTAGTGTTTGCGATTTAAACACAAGTTGATATGGACAAAAAAATTGACAAACATAAAATATAATTGTTAACTTCTCAACCAAAGTTGTTAAACTATAATACATTTTCAACCTTTATGTTTTTTACTGTGTAAATGACAAAAATGATCAGCCTTTACCCTGCCCTGCTTTACACTACGTCCCATTTTTCTTTTTCATATTTTTATTGAGAGACAAGTGTACAGTGGTTTACAATGACAATACAATCTGTTCCCCTCACATATTTTTTTAGTTTTTCTTACATGAACAGATACGATAACACACACACACACACACACACACACACACACACACACACACACACACACACACACACACACACACACACCCACACACACACGCTTAAATAAACAAACAAAACAAAACCTAATAAGAAACCCAAAACAAACACAAACAACAAACCCCAAAACAAACACAAAAAAAAAAAAAAGGGGGGGGGGGAGAGATATGATATTAATCAGCAGGTAGAGCATTTAATGACTTGCAATAGTCTACGAAGGGGCCCCAGATATGATAAAATTCTCTGTATTTGCCCTTCGCCACAAGGCCTATCTTTTGCAATTTAAGAAATGACATCACATCTCTAAACCAAAAAGAAACTGAAGGTGGCTTTGAAGATTTCCAAAGGAGTAAGATGCAACGTCTAGCCAAAAGTGATGTAAAGGCTAAAATTTTGAAATGTGTAGGGTCGGTTAGACCAGTGTTGACTGGAAGCCCAAAAACAGTTAGAAAAGGGTCCATGCAGATTTGGGTCCCAAGAGCCTTGGAAAGAATAACTGAATACTGACTCCAGAAGCCATGGAGTCTTGGGCACAGAAAGAACATATGGCCTAGGTCACATGGGGTGGCATGACATCTCTCACACTGATCCATCACTTGTGGGTAAATCTCAGACAGACGAGACTTTGAATAGTAAACCCTGTACAATACCTTGAACTGGATAAGTTGTAACCTGGCACAGGACATACTATAACGGACATTGGATACTGCTTTCTCCCATTGCTGATCCGAAAAAATTACTCCTAACTCCCGCTCCCAAGCCCCCCTAATTTTAGCAACTGAATGGACATTTAAATCCATAAGTTGTTCATATATTAAAGATATAATTGAATTCTTATTGGGTTTAAGGGATAAGAATTCCTCCCATGGTTGGACATTAGGAAGAAGAGGGTAGGAGGGGAAGAGAGCAGAAGTGCAATGCCGTGCCTGAAAATAACGGAATAGATTGGTAGCCGGAAGATTTGTTTCTGAACACAGGTCTAAAAAAGTTAAGAAAGTGCCATCTTTATAGAGATCCTTAAAGGTATTAATACCATGATGCTTCCACTGTACATAGGTACCATCAATGAGGCCAGGAGTAAACAGATGGTTCTGCGTGATGGGCATGTGTACTGACGCAGAGATGTACTTAAAATGACTCCTGAGTTGTGACCAGACCCTTAGACTAGACTGTACCACGGGATTTTGGGTGAAATGAGAAGGCTTAAGTGGTAGTGGAGAGAACAATAAAGCTTCTAAGGATGAGGAAGTGCACAACAGGCGCTCCAGTTTACACCACAGCAGTTCTTGAGATTGAAGCTAATGGGTCAATTTGTGAATATGAGAGGACCAATAGTAAAATAAAAAGTTAGGCAAGGCAAGACCACCAT